GGGGGAAGGGTCCGTAACTTTTGGGGGGAGGGCCGTGGGAGGGGGTGGAGGATAAGGGGGGTCTGTGCGTGGGGAAGGGTGTCTGTGTGTAAGGGGAGCGTGGGGTGGGAGTGTGGGTTGAGGTGTCTGTTCCTCGGGGGGGGTGTCTGTGAGTAAGGGGGGGCCGTGGGTGGGGAGCGTCTGTGCGTGGGGGGGGAGTTGTTTACGGGTGCAGGCACGAGTGGGGGGGGCGGGGGGCGCATGCGCGTGTGTGGAGTGGGGGGGACACAACGTGGCCGTGGCCGTGTGTGTGACCCCCCCCAAACACGTGTGGCCCCCCCCAAACACGTGTGGTCCCCCTCAACCATGTGTGACCCCCCCTCACTGTCTGTGTGACCCGCGGGGGGTGCCCACAAGTGTCCCCCCCAAAAAACACCCCAATATACACACGGGGGGGGGCACGGGGCAGGCGGGTGATGCGGTCGCCATGGCAACCGCATCCCTGCGTGGGTGGCGGCGTCTCCATGGCAACCGTGGACCAGCAGGAGATGGGGGACAGTGACCCCCCTCCGCACAGACACGACCCCCCCCACCACATACACCCCCCTCCCCCCCACGCGGGAATGGGGGTGGTCGCGATTTCCCCCTCCCAGGGTCGAGGTGAGTGTGACTGGGGGGGGTCAGTGCAAAGGGGGTCCCCCCCCGGGGTGCACGTGCAAACAGCCCCGTGCCACGCAGGGGGGGTCTGTGCAAGGCCAAGGTGCGTGTGGGCCCCCCCACGCCACAGGGGGGTGAGGGGGGAACACGGAGCAGCCGCCGTCGGTCCCTGTCGGTCCCTGTCACATCCCGTGAGTGTCACATGAGTCACGGCCGCGGGGCCCGGCGGGCACGGCGGGAGGGGGGTGCTGAGGCCAGGGCCACTCGTGACACGCGTGGCTGAGGCTGTGGACATTCATGCCATGTGTGGCTGAGGCCGGGCAGCTCGTGACATGGATGGATGAGGGCAGGGCAGCTCCTGCCACGTGGGGTCGAGCTCAGGGGGTGCTTCCGTCACGGGGGGCTGAGCCCGGCCCCGCTCGTAACACCCACGGCTGAGTCCCGTGCCGCTTGTGTCATGCGTGGCTGAGCCCGGCCCCGCTCGTGACACGCGTGTGTGCCCCCCTGTGCCCCCCGTGCCCAGCCATGGCCGAGTACCGCAGCCTGCTGGAGGAGCTGGCCCAGAACATCACGGCCGAGGACCTGGAGCAGCTCAAGTCCGCGTGTCGCGAGGACATCCCGAGCGGGGAGGGCGACGCCATCGCCACCGGCCAGCACTGGTTCGACTTCCTGGAGCGCCACAGCAAACTGGACCGAGGTGACACTGTGGGGACATGGGGGACACGCCCCGAGCCCTGGCCCTGCATGGCTGTGTGTCCACGTGTCCATATATCCCTGTGTCCATATATCCCTGTGTCCACATGTCCATATATCCCTGTGTCCACATACCCATATATCCCTGTGTCCATGTGTCCATATATCCCTGTGTCCATGTGTCCATATATCCCTGTGTCCATGTGTCCATATATCCCTGTGTCCACATGCCCATATATCCCTGTGTCCATATATCCCTGTGTCCACGTGTCCATATATCCCTGTGTCCACGTGTCCATATATCCCTGTGTCCATGTGTCCATATATCCCTGTGTCCACATGCCCATATCTGTCCCCATGTCTGTGTCCATATGTCCCTGTCACTGCGTGTCCATGTCCTTTTATCCATGTGTCCATATGCCCATATATCCATATTATCCATGTGTCCATATCTCCATGTCCATATCTCCATAGATCTCTATATCCCTGTGTCCATATTCCCCTCTATCCCCATATCCATGTCCCTCTATCCCCATATCCCTGTGTCCATATATCCCTCTATCCCCATATCCCTGTGTCCATATATCCCTCTATCCCCATATCCCTGTGTCCATATTCCCCTCTATCCCCATATCCCTGTGTCCATATTCCCCTCTATCCCCATATCCCTGTGTCCATACACCCCTCTATCCCCATACCCACGTCCCCCCTGTCCCCACAGCCAACCTGTCGTACATCGAGCACATCTTCGAGATCTCTCGCCGGCCGGACCTGCTGACCAAGGTGGTTCAGTACCGGACGCAGGTGCTCAAGATCTCGGAGGAGGACGAGGTGGACACGAAGCTCACGCGCATCCCCAGCGCCAAGAAGTACAAGGGTGAGACCCCCTGACAGCCCCCCGGGGACAGGGACCCTCCAGGGACAGAGACCCCCAGGGAAGGGATGGGGACCCCCCCAGGGAAGGGACAGGGACCCCCAGGGACAGGGACAGGGACCCCCAGGGACATGGGGAGGAGAGAGGGACCAGCAGGGACCCCCCTCATCATCCCAGGGCAGGGCTGGGGACCCTCTGGCTGGGGGGGGGTGGCGGACCCCCCGAGCTCCCCCTGACCCCCAAAGCAAGGCTGGAGCCCCCCCTGAGCCCCCCCTGACCCCCAAAGCAGGGCTGGAGCCCCCCCTGAGCCCCCCCTGACCCCCCTGTCCCACAGACATCATCCGGCAGCCCTCGGAGGAGGAGATCATCAAACTGGCCCCCCCTCCCAAAAAGGCCTGAGGAGGAGGAGGAGGAGGATGAAGGCTGAGCCCCCCCAGGTCCCCCCCTGTGTCCCCCCCATCTCCAGCCCCGGGGGGGGCTCGGGGGGTGGGGGAGGGGCAGGACGGGCATGAACGGCTCTGAAAGCCCCCCCGAGGGGGGGAGGGGGCAGGGGGGGGCTCGTGTGAGTGAGGGGGGGGGTCTGGGGGGAGGGGCTTTGATATTCCCAGGGGACCCCCACAAAACCCTCAATGAAGGGGGAGGGGGAGGAACAGGGACCCCCCCACCCCGGTTTTGGTTTAATGGGGGGATCACTGGGACCACCCCTCACCCTGATCTGGGGGGGCACACTGAGACCCCCCCAACCCAATTCCGGGGGGTCACAGACACTGGGACCACCCCCCACCCCAATTCTGGGGGCCATGGGGGGGAATGACGAGCACTGGGACCCCCCCCACTCATTCCAGGAGGGGGTCACAAGCACTGGACCCCCCAATTTGGGGGGGGGGAATGGGGGTAGTGGGACCCCCACCCCAATTTGGGGGGGGTCACAAGTACCTGGGACCACCCCCACCCCAATTTGGGTGGGGGGTCTGAAGGACAGGGCAAGTGGGGGAGGGTGAGGAGCGTCAGGTGAATTTGGGGGGGGGTCTCTGCCCCCCCGAGTGGCTGCAGAGGGACTTGGTGAGTTTGTGAGGCCTCAGCCCCGTTTTTGGGGGGGCTGCAGGGGGTGGGGGGACAAGGAGGTGACAAAGTGTGTGTGGGGGGGGGAAAGGGGGGCAACAAGTGATGCCCCCCTCAAATTGGGGCAAATCCCCCCCCGTGACCCCCAGTTTT